AGTGGTGAGAGTGGCGAGGTCTGGAGAGTGGAGGGAATGTGGGGTGGAAAGGGGGAACCGATTACAAGAATCTACGTACAGCTTCCTCCCTGGGGGATAGACAGCAGAGAAGAAGGCCGGGGGAGATGTTGGACAGTGTAACCTATGACAAAACAATAACAATTTATGAATTATGAAGGGTTCATGAGGGAGGGGGGAGTAGGGATGGAGGGGAAAAATGAGCAGCCGATATTAAGGGCTAAAGTGGAAGGCAAATGTTTTGAGAATGATGAGGGCAACTAATTTACATATGTGCTTGACACAATGGATGTATGTATAGATTGTGATAAGAATTGTATGCGCCCCTAATAAAGTAATTAAAAAAAAAGTTAAGGGTAACAGGCAAATACTGTTACATACAAAATCCTGCAACAGTGGGTATCTATGAGTAGATTCCTTGGATAGGTGGGAGAGTGGGTATATCTATATATCTTTAACTATCTTTAAAAATATGTATATACACACATGTATACACACATAAATATATAGATTAGAGAAAGGATATTTGTGTGAGAAAGGATATTTACTTCTGTTGAAAATTATATACATGAATGCAGTGCAGTAGTCCATATAGGAACAAATTATGAAACTTCTTGGATACAACCAAGCCCTTTGAAAGAACAAGTTGCTGGGACTCGGGATCAGGATCTTCGTCTCAGGGGACACCAAGGTCAGTTGGCCTAACACACAGTTCAGAGACAATGTTGTATATCCTCATTATGAATAGCAACTGGGGCTTTAGAAGCTCTTGAGCAACTATGTTGGGTGAAGTCATTGGTTTCTCCCTGAGCAGAGGAAAGAAGAATGAAAAAAAAAATCAAAAGATATGGAAACAATTAGTCCAAAGGACTAACGGGGCACACAAACATCAGTCTCTGCAATCCTGAGACCAGAAGAGCTAGATGGTGCTCAGCTACCACTCCCTACTGCTCCAAAAAGGATCACACCAGGAAGTCCTGGACAGACTGGCTGATAAATGTGAACAAAGTCACAACAGAGCCCAGGCTTGCCGGTTGCGGGGAGACTGGTAGAGACCTCCAAGACTATAGCCCTCATCCTTCAGGTCTGGAACTGAGCTCAGCTCCATGGTACAACAATCAAACCAGAACTTAAGGGCAGCATCTGCCCAAGGACAAAGTTCAGAGGATTAGTAAAAAGGAGCAATGGAAACAGGAAGCACATGGAGGAAGCGGGATAAATGATGACACCTTGGGGATGCAGTGGATGAGTCGATTCAGAATGTGTCTAAATTGATCAACGTAGAGCCTCAACCTGCTTTCTAAACCTTCACCCAACTCACAATAAAATGTTAAAAATTGAGAAAAACTTTTACAACAAACAACTCTTCAGATAATAAAATCAAATATTTTGATGGAAAAAAAAATCAGTGTTCAGCCACTAAGAAAAGACCATACAAGTTAAAAAACAAACAAAACGTAAAACTTCTTTGAAAATTTTATTAGAGAACATGTATTCAATTGAATTTCTTATGTCCCTTTTAAAAATAAGTCAGTAAATATAATGTATTTTTTAAAGATCACATTTGAACACTGGGTCCCCCAAAGAGAGATTTCTTCTGTTTTGATTTAGTATACAAATTATTTTTAATCTTATATAACAAAAACTGTAGATCATTTTATTTATTCATTTTTGAGAAGCATCATATAACTCTTGAATTCTTATTAATATAAAGCTCATGTAGAACAGCCACTTATCATTTGTTAAATGAGGATCAGAAAGTAAAAAAGCATTACCTTCAAATAAACTGAGGTCTCTTTGTAGCCATGGTCCATAAAGCCCTTCTAAAATACTCTCAAAACCTGTGTAAAGAAAGAAAAGTCTATTAACTGCTGGAAAAACTATTTCATAATAATCCAAAGTCAGACTCTACTGCAATCAACACATTGTGAACTTAACACTATGGGTGGTTCTCCTCGCAAACTGAAGAAAACAGAATTATGCAACAGGCAATCCAGACAACAGGGAAGCACCTTTGTCACTTAGAAATCTTCCCAGGTCACAAATCTCATGGCACGGTTTCTTATTACTTTGTAGAGAAAGGAAGAATTAGAAATGACAAGGTATTACAATCGTGCTTTTTACCCAAAAAAAGTTATCTTTTAAAAAAAATAAAGCATCTTTAACTTCAATTACAAAACTGATTAAATAAAAGTTAATGAGAAGAAATTCCTTAAACCTACATGTAAAATTTAAACAGAACCACTTGTTCATAACTATAAGAACGCCTTACTGAATATGCTGTCAAGGCAACAAACTTCCAATTCACAAATTTATCAACTATTAGTATACTCTGAATATACTTATGTTAAAATTTCACAATTAAAAAATGTCTATTGTTGTTTTCTTCCAAATCATTTTATTAGGACATAATTCAGACATCACATTATTCAATAGTTCTGTCATATCAAGAAGTGTTTACAATCGCTACAACAATCAGTTTCAAAACATTTTCTTTCTTCCTTGTATTCCTTGATATCAGCTCCCCATTAGCCCTTCCCACCTCCCATGTTGTCTACCCCCCCACTCCTGGAACCCTTAATCTGGTTGTCTCTATAGAAACATCCTGGGTTTCACTTATCTTGAAACATAACAAAATATATAACAGAGAATTAAGAAGCCTACCAACACTAACAGAACAGAAATAAACCCCAGTTTGAAAAATAAACCAAACAAAAAAAATCCAGAAAATATTAAAAGCTAGATCAAGCTCACAGTGTGTCAAAAGGGAACTAAACCACTCTATTTTAGAGATGCTTACTGATAAGCTTATTGATAAGAGACCTAGAGGAAAAAGACCAAGAAGGCAATACAGTTTGGAAGCCAAGAAAAGGCGCTAATATAAGCATGCAATATAAAATGCACATTTGTAACATACAGCTTTTCTAAAGGACACAATGCGGGGGGCGGGGGGAAGGTGGTATTATAGACCCAGTATATGAAAGGAAAAGTAGATTTTTTTCAATGGTTATTTCTGAATTGTATAGCATTATAGTTATTCTATAAACATTCCATAAATTATAGGATGCTCTTAAAAAACATTATGAACAATTGTGAAATCAAGATACATCTAAAAATCAATGATGTAATGATGCGTCATAAACTAATTGACAATATTTTTTTCATTCGGTAGAACAAAAACTAATGGTGTAATACACTGATGGATATATTTGATAAAGTAAGGTAATTATGGTACTTTGTAAAAATGTCCTCAACAACAACAGAAAAGTGGGTAGATATGTCAGACAGTGTAAGACATGACAAAATAATAATAATTTATAAATTATCAAGGGTTCATGGAGGGGGGGCGAGGAGGAAGGGGAAAACCGAGGAGCTGATACCAAGGGCTCAAGTAGAAAGCAAATGTTTTTTTTTTCATTATTTTTTTTCCTCTTTTTTAACATTTTATTAGGGGCTCATACAACTGTTATCCCAATCCATACACACATCAATTGTGTAAAGCGCATTTGTACATCGTTT